GAGGGGCAGACGGAGTGAGAAAATGTGGGGCGGTGAAACGAGGCGACAGGAGGCGCCTTGGGAAACTGGATTCTGGGAACCGGTAGTTCAAGGCTGCGCCTGGACTGCTCTGCTCAACCGCAGCTGCTGGAGCTCCTGCGGTTAAACGTCGTGAGGGGCAGACGGAGTGAGAAAATGTGGGGCGGTGAAACGAGGCGACAGGAGGCGCCTTGGGAAACTGGATTCTGGGAACCGGTAGTTCAAGGCTGCGCCTGGACTGCTCTGCTCAACCGCAGCTGCTGGAGCTCCTGCGGTTAAACGTCGTTACAGGCCTGGGGTTTGCCTGCACGGTGCACTGTGGCATCAGCTTTCAGAGTTTTATTATGCTGCGTCTGTTGAGATGGCGAAATTTGACATAGCTAATGGTAAGACCCAGCCTTGCATCCAGAAACAAGGATTAGCATGTGCAACAGGGTTTTTAATCGTCTAGCGACTACTCCAGTAGAGTAGTCATAGCAGCAGACCCAGGGTGTGATGCAGTTGGCTCTTTTTCCAGTTGTCTACTCAGCGTTGTGTGTATGTTGTAAATGTATTCATAAAAGCTAATGATATCCTTTTTTTAAAAAAAAAAAAAAAAACAACAAACACTTTAGCAGCCTTTGACGATGCGGTGGAAGAACGTGTGATCAATGAGGAGTATAAAATATGGAAAAAGAATACGCCCTTCTTATACGATTTGGTAATGACCCATGCTCTGGAATGGCCCAGCTTGACTGCTCAGTGGCTTCCCGACGTAACAAGGTAAACAGATCCTTTTGCTTGTTTTTTAAAGCAGAATAAATAGTAAGTGTAGGTGGCGTTTTTTGTTGAAGTAAGACAGCGTATGATTCCTTTCTGCCTTACCTTCTGTTTGTCCCCTCGGTATTTGTGTAAACTCCTTTTGTTTCTCCTGTAACTCTCTTTCCTCGCAGACCTGAAGGGAAGGATTTCAGTATCCACCGGTTGGTCCTGGGCACCCACACTTCAGATGAACAAAACCACCTGGTGATAGCGAGCGTGCAGTTGCCTAACGACGATGCGCAGTTTGATGCTTCACACTATGACAGTGAGAAAGGAGGTAAGGGGACCAAACTGGCCGGAGTTTTAACTACTTTTCCCCTTCCCTTCTCAAAAGAATATTTGTCTTCCCTTCAGGTTTGGGGAGCAAAGTTCAGATACTACTTCTAACCTGATCAGTTTATTTCTAAGTGGTATCCTTGCTTAACGGACAAACACTAAGTTTTCTGAATGTAGGTAATGTGTTAATAACGTAATGATGGGGGAAAAAAAAGTGGTAGGTTTATGGCAAAAGTATATGTGTGGGGAGAACTCACCCTATTTCTCATCAGGAATTGACGTTGAATCTCATGGAGTGCTGCTTATTGGTGTTTTTATTATTGCTTTTGCAGCGTGAAAGTAACTCGTTGGAAAGAACATTTTATTTCAGAGGAGTGTAGCATTTCAAACGTTCTTCCCTTGTCTGAATTCTGATGCTTGATAGCTGTGCCAGCCCCCCTTGGATAAAAAGATTATTGTATTTTTGCTTGGTGTACCAGACTGGAATCTGATGCTTTCTGTAATCTTAGTTGGCTGTCAGCATTGCTGCAAGTTAGACATTTCTCATTTTTACTTGGTGGAATCAGTCTTTCTACCTGGTGAAAGTCCTTAATGATCCAATGTTTGCTCTTGTTGCCAGAAGCCTGGATTGTGCAATAAAGAGTTTTGATCTTTGGGCTTCTGAGAGTTATTCATGAACGCAATGTTGTTTAATAAATAAATTGTTTCTATTCTGTTTTAGTATTTCTTAAAAACATACTACTCCAATTTAAAACCAAAACTAAGAAAAAAACCTAAACTTTTTGCCAGAGCGGTGCTATGCAGTTCTGTGAAATACTAAATTACTGTGCCTTTAGGCAGCTTTAGCAAGTTGTAGTACAGTTCCATATCTTAAACGGGGTCCAGCAATTTGGTTTTGCCACAACTTTGTCTGTTCTGCCATGCTGAATTTTGTTATATTTGAAAGTGCAGTTACAGCACGTCTGTTTCAAACGTACAACACCGTTTCATTACTGGAAAGGGTTCTAGATATGATAAATTTGGGGTTTGTGTTGTTAAATTTGAAATAGTAAAAAATCTTTTTTGGAAGACGTGGTCTTTAACTTGGCCAAAGTTGTGATATTTTGATGTTACCGATAAAGCAGTTCAAAACAACAGGCCGTTTGAGAACTGGATTCTTGCAGTTATTGTTATTGTTATTCTTGTGACTGTCTTTCAAAATAAGTGCTTGGTATTATCAGTAATTAAATCAGGATCTTTGTGCCTTGATCTGAAACTAGCTCGTTATTTAAAATGACTGAATCTTTATTTCCAGAGTTTGGAGGCTTTGGGTCAGTTAGTGGAAAAATTGAAATCGAAATCAAGATAAATCACGAGGGAGAAGTGAACAGAGCGCGTTACATGCCGCAGAACCCGTGCATCATCGCTACAAAGACTCCGTCCAGCGATGTCCTCGTCTTTGATTACACCAAACACCCTTCGAAACCAGGTGCCTGCTTCTTTGTTCTGTCTGTGCTACAGAGATCAGCCCAGCCCTTCCTTAAGAAAAGTGTGATATAGTGAGAAAAAGAGGCTTAAAGGTTTTGTGGACTGTGTATAATTTGTGATTTTATGGGAAAGTAGGTATTTGGTGTGAAAAGTGGTTTTGTATGGAAGCTTATATTTATCCAATATGCATCAATAGATTTATGGTATGTGTGTGTTTGTTCTTTTTTCCTTTTACTCTTCTACTGGTTGGTTTGTTGCGTCACTGTGTTGGTATTTGGAGTGGTGGAAGGTGCTCAGAAGGATAGAGAGGGACTCTGTGGGAAATGCTAAAGCAAAGTTTACTAAAGCACGATCAAACTGGAAGGCGGGTGTTCCAGGATGTGCTGGGAGTGGTGCTGGGCACTGAAGTTCTTACGCTGCCTCTTTACAGACCCTTCTGGAGAGTGTAACCCTGATCTGCGTCTTCGTGGACACCAGAAGGAAGGTTATGGGCTGTCGTGGAACCCAAACCTGAGTGGGCATTTGCTTAGTGCTTCTGATGATCATGTGAGTACTTCAGGTACAGCTGGGGTACAGTCTGTGCTGTGTGTCCCTTGGCAAAGGTCAAGAGTGGGGTTATTTTATTTTCTTTTTTGAGGGGGAGGAGGTAAAGAGAGTGTCTGTCTAAAGATGCAATTTTTATTTATTTTTTTTTTAAAAGACTATTTGCTTGTGGGATATTAGTGCTGTTCCAAAAGAAGGCAAAGTGGTGGATGCAAAGACCATCTTCACGGGGCACACAGCGGTGGTGGAAGATGTATCTTGGCACCTGCTCCATGAATCGCTTTTCGGATCCGTCGCTGATGATCAGAAGCTCATGATGTAAGTGGGGTAATGTCTTCAGGAACGGAGCACTTCTCTCCTTCCTCTCATCTGTCCTGTATTCCCTCAGTAAAATGAGACGTAAACCTTGGTTTCAACTCCGTGTTTTCCCTGTACAGTTGGGATACTCGATCAAACAACACCTCCAAACCCAGTCATTCAGTGGATGCTCACACAGCCGAAGTCAACTGCCTCTCTTTCAATCCCTACAGCGAGTTTATCCTGGCTACGGGATCAGCTGATAAGGTACATCTACCTCAGACTTGGAACATGACTGTTCAGTTTCTGGTGTGTAAATGTCATGTATATATCAGTTACTTCAACAAAAAAACGTTGACTGTGTTTGTTTTCCTAGACTGTTGCGCTATGGGACTTGAGGAACCTAAAACTGAAGTTGCACTCCTTCGAATCGCATAAAGATGAAATATTTCAGGTATGACAATGTCTTTGGGTTTTGTGTGTGTAGGCTTAGTTCTGCTTAGCTGTCTGGATAAAAAATGAGAGACATTCTTTTCCACTCTGTGCTTTTATTAAATGTACTTTTTCTTAAAAACTCACACTCCTTCATCTGCTTGCAATTTTCTGGCTTATGTTGTGGAGCTGTGTAGTGCTCTGTGTGGGGTGGAGTTCCGGTACAGATAAGAGTGTCCAGAAAGCCAGAGGCAGAATGTGACAAGAAGTGGTTGTCCCAACAGAAGGGTGAAATGCTAGCAGGACGGAGTAAATGTAAATTATTCATGGCAGCAGATCGAAGCAGGGGGGCACAGTGAAATGGCTGCAGTGTTCTCATCTCCTCAGCTTGGTCCTGTAGGGAAGCTTTTGCCTGTACTCATTAAAGGGGATCACTGGAACATCCTGTAACGTCGGACAATTGCTAATTTTGCTGGTTTAAATATAGAATGTTAACATCACGGGTGCCATGTGCTTAGCAGATACAGTATTTCCATCCCCAACTCATGCCTTACTCAGAGGAAAAACACGTAGACGTTTTCTCATAAAAGGATTACTAGTTAAGACTGTAGTTACTGCTAAATAAAATTACACGTGGAATCTTGAAGTGTCAGGTTAGTGTGCAGAATTGCGTGTTCTTTTCTAATCCTGTGATCCTATTAAGGGGTATGTTTTGGAGAGATTTATCTCTGGCAGGAGTAGCAAATGTGAGCAGTTAAGCCTAATTATGGGGATTTCTTTTCATATGTAAACCGTACGTACTACTTAAGAATTGGGTACTTTATATTTGTGCAGTCCTTATTACGGTAAGGAGCAGCTCATATCTTTGAGAGCTGCTTGCACTTCGTAACACATGGCTTTTGTTAAAGGAAAGGCCACGTGAGGTACCTTTTTGGTGCCCAAATACCTTGTTGGAGCCCTGAATGGTCCCAAACCCGTCTGGTGTTAGAATGGTGTTATTGGGCATAGTTGTATTTTAAGTTATTACCAATTTGAGTTCTTGCACAGCTTTCATGGTAGAAGATATGGTGGTGTTTGTTGTGAATGTCTGTCCTAGTACCTAATTTTAAATTTTATTTAAACTTCCTTTCTAAATTTTTCCTTGTCTGTAGGTTCAGTGGTCTCCTCATAATGAAACTATATTGGCCTCCAGTGGCACTGACCGCAGACTAAATGTTTGGGACTTGAGGTGAGAGTTGAATTAGTTGCTTTGTCCTGAAAAAATGTTATCAATGAATTGCATCACTCTTCAAAAAAACCAACCAACCCACCCCCTGCCTTTTAATATTTATTATTTTTTCGTAACAGTAAAATTGGAGAAGAGCAATCCCCTGAAGATGCTGAGGATGGTCCCCCAGAGCTGTTGGTAAGTCTTTTTTGAATCTTCTTGATAGCTTTCTGCTATTATTCGTCTCTGCAATGTAGATTTGAAACCATTCTCCTCCTTGTTTTCCCAATACTAGTTTATTCATGGTGGTCATACTGCAAAGATCTCTGATTTCTCCTGGAATCCCAATGAACCCTGGGTAATTTGTTCTGTATCAGAAGATAATATCATGCAAGTCTGGCAAATGGTGAGTCCTTGGGGAAGTGGCAAATGAGAGATGGAGTCAAACTGCCTGGATTTCAGCACTCCTGGTTGTATTTACAGTTCTTGGAACTACTCGCTTTGTAGCACCGCTTAAATGTCAAAGGAATATTGAAATTCACTTGAGATTTGGTTGAAATGATGGTTTACAAACACACAGAAGCTGAATTTTTCATGACTTGGAAAGTGCTGGTGCAAATATTTCCCTTCTACATTTGAATGAAAACAGTGTGTGAGAACCAAAGATGAAATTGAGGTTTCTGTTAGTTACTGTCTTAGAGAATGAAATCTTGGCAAATGAGACAAATGTCCTCCTGAAGATGGAGAGGGATGGTGATAAATGGGAAAAGTTTGCTGGCCCTACTAAAGGTGTGCACATCCAGCAGGCTCCCCTAAACTGCAGTAACTTCCAGGGTGCTCAGGGAATGTTCTGGAGACACAACTGTTAGCAACAAGGTTGGGTTTGTTGCTTCTTTAATGTTCAGTGGCCTTGAGGGATCAGAGAAGGGCGATACATCTCGGCAGGTGAAGAGCTGCCAAAACTTTCTGAAGTGTAGATGAAAACTCAGTCAATGTGCTGGTAAATGCTTCTTCAGTTCCTTCGTCTCTGTCTTGCAGGCAGAGAACATCTATAATGATGAAGACCCTGAAGGAAGCGTGGATCCAGAAGGTCAAGGATCCTAGACGACGACCTTTACCTGTTTTTAGCCTTTTTCCTTCTCTTCCCTCTCAGCCCTGATATTGACTTAACACTGGTTTTGAGACACACGTAGACTTTGTGTTCGGCCATCCTTCTGTAGGTACCAGCAACAGGCTTTGTAACCCGGACAGTGGGTGCTCCCTAAGGAAAGGGCTCAGCCCAGCTCAGCTGGTCCCACGCTTTTGCTCCTTTTCAGATTTCCGACAGCAACCTCTCGCTTTTAGGGCTGGCTCTCCCATTTTAGTTGCCTTCATCACACAGAGCAAACTTGGTTTTGTTGGCTTTCCTTGTGTTGTTTTGGTTTTTTTTCTTCTGTCTTTAGCTTGCTGCGGCTGCGGGCTTTTGCCTAATTTAAACAAAAATTAAATGGGTAGAGCTGCCAGCGTGTGTTCGAGCCAGTGGAGGTGATACAAGTGTTAATCCAGTGGCAGTTCAGAAATGGAGTGTGGAAGGCCTCAGTACAACTCGGAGGTCTTGGGATTCCATTAGTTAATCTGTACCTTGTGGGTTTTTCTGCCTCTGCAGATACAAAAGAGACTTGCAGATTCTGACTTGAACTAAAATTAAATTCCTTTCTATGTTTTTTTTGTCTCTGCTGGTAATTCTGGGTTTTTCCTTCCTTCCTTCCTTTCCCTTTTCACCTTCTGCTGGGCAGCAGCAGTTTGAATTCGTTAGCTATTCCCGCAGAGCGTTGTTCACTTTCCATGTATTTTGCTCTGTTGTGTGTTTCTTGAGCTGTGTTTTCACATTTATTTCTTTCCTTTCTGTGAAATGGTTTTTAAAACTTGGGGCCACCAAGTTGTAAAGGTGTATGTTTTTACCAACTGATGTACCACGGATGGCCTGAAACGGCGTTGGTAGCTGGTATATCTGTAAGGCAAATTAAATGTGGATGAACTACTTTTTTTTAGGAGTTAGTCCTTGACCACTAGTTCCTGCACATCTTCCACTAGGGTGTCCTGTTCCACCAGCAACCTCTTACTCTCCGAGCTCCTCATGACTAATTGCGTGTCAGTGCTTCAGATGGAATAAATTTTTTCTACGTTAGCGCTGCGTGGCTTTGATTTTTGTGCTCGTGTTTTGCTCCTGCCTTAACTGCTTTGCTGAGAGTGAAGGTGCTCCTTCAGAAAGCAGAGAGAGGAGGGGTGAAGTCTGCCCCAGCGTGTCCTGTGAGACTGTGCTGGTACAGATAGTCCTTAGGTTGTAACGTGGGTGATTTTCCCCCCTCTTGTTTCTGCCGCTTTCTTTGCACGGTGAGTAAATGAGCACTGAAGTGGGGATTTTGGGTCTGCCTTTAGCCCTTGCCACAGAGCTCTTTGTGTAGTTGGATACCTCACAAGTACCTTGGGTTGTGACACACAAGTTTGATATTTTCTCTTTGAGACACAGCTTTGAGAATTAAAAAGATCCTTAAACTCCGACCTTTATTTTCAGTGTGAGACTTTTATATAAAGTGGAAACCTATTATCCACAAACTAGTTCTGTGGCCCATGGCGGAGCATAGAACCACTCAGGTTGGAAAGGACCTTTGAGCAACTCGCAACACAGCAGAGACCCTTGAAATACAAAAGAAAATCCTGTTAAAAGGATAAAGCTCTTGCATGTAAACTTTAAAAATCAAACCCCCAACCCTGGCTTCCAGAACAATCCTTTCTGTGCGGGCTCATACAATCCACCTATGGAACAAGACGGGATATATTTTCCAAACACAGCAAAACGTATGTCCTTTGTTCAGTGCAAGTGTTCTTTTTCTCTGCTCCTCTGGAAAAACAGTTTTACCACACGAGCAACAGCAGCAGTTGGAGAAAGACCCACAAGTGAACCATTGTCCAGGGTTCCTGGTTTCAGCCAGCTGCTGCACATCAGCTGGGATAAGCAGCGAGAGGAGCCGTCCCCTGCAGATGCTTCCCTCCTTTTCTTTTGCTACGATGGGAAAAGTCCATCATTCCTAACAGTCCTCTTCTGCTTTTTCTTCTGATTTGCAAAGGTGTCCGTACATTTCTAAACAGCTCCTGTAGGGGTAGAAAGTAAATTTAAGCTACTGAGCATTTACATCAGCTACTCTGGAGAAAACAAGGAAGGGGCGCAGATGCTATTTCTGAAAAAAACATTATTTTCACAGTATGGAAGTAATGAGGGAATGCTTAAATTGGCTCAGTACTTGGTCTTGCGAGTGTGTGGACCTACCCCAGCGCTGCCAGAGCTCTTGGCAAACAACCGAACTTTAACAGAAGGGAATGTAATTTTTGATGTGAGCCACCTCGGAGCCGAACTTAACTCCGAGATGCCCGGTGCAAGCGTGAAACTTCGTGAGGTGTCCTCACACACGAGAAGCCTCACACGTTCTCACTTCCAGGGACAGCAGATTGTAGATTGCCAGGAGTTAAGAGACTGTGCTGCTGCACCCAGGCTTAAGTACTCGTCTGTGATTTAAATCTGGTTTAGAAGGAGCCCGAGCGGCAAAGACAGGGTGTTGGGATCTGGTCTGAACCATAAACGCAGTTAATCTCGTTAATGCATCTTGGAAAGGCCGGTGAAGTGACAGACCGAAACGGAGATCTCTTCCCCTGTGCTTGCCATGCTGAATCTTAACCCGGGTGAAAAAGCTGTACCTGTTTGTGGTAGGGAATGTTCTCCTGTGGGGCATTTGCATGAGGAGGTTTGAGTGGAGAAGGGGAAAAAAGAATACTGAGGTAACAGCAACGCTACTGCTGTTACTGTGGACAAGAGTGCGCAGCTGAGTCTGGAGGAACACAGCAAGTTTGGTGAGTGAATTAGTCCACAAACTTGGGAACATACTCTGGACTTTGGAAAAATCAGGTGTAATAAAGAAGACCTGAGTGAAAGCAGCAGGAGATCGATAAGCAGAAGAGAGTTTGCTCTTACTGAAGAGCATCCACACTGATGTTTCCCAAGCCTACGCTGCGGCTCCTTTCCACATTTTCCTAAGGAAACTGGCACTTCAAGTTGCCACACCTGCTTCTTGGAAAGCAACCTCTGCTCCTCCTGTACAGGAATTTCCACCAAATCCCCATTTGTTGGATGGCAAAATCTCTGGAGCTCCTGCTGTGCTGCCCCATCAGACCCCTGGCTCACGCACCGGCCACGGGGAGCAGGAGCAAAAGCCCAACAGCTTGCGTCCACCAGCCTCTCTCCACCATCCTCCTCCTCCCACCCCTACCCAGCCCCTCTGCACTACAGGGACAAGACAACCAGACTTGTAGATGGAGAGCTCCCGGTGGAGGCTGGTCCTCAGCTCCTCCAGTTCCTGATTCTTGCGCTGCTGGAGCTGGACCCCGTTCTTGAGCTCCTTCAGCCTGTCTTCCAGCTCCTCAACCTGTTCCTGAGGAGTAAGGAGACAAGAGTGGATTAGCTGGTGGAGGAAGGCTGTCTCGCTGCCCGTGCTCTCATGGGGGGATCTGTCTGCCAACGGTGTTGGACTGGACAAAGCACAACCAGGCTGATGGCTGGTCAACCACTTTCTTCAAAAACCTCTGCACTAAAGCTTTATTTTATTATAATAAGTGCGAGCACAGGCTGAGCTGGGTCCTTCGGCTTCTCTCAGCTGGTTGGTTTTGTCCCTCAGATTTTGTGTGTGTTTTGAGAAGCTGTCGGCGCTATATAAACCTATGAGTCAGGAGACGATAAAAAAGGAATTTGGGGAAAAAGGAGATGCGGAGGCACATGAGGGATATCTCAAAGTCCTGTCCTCTGAGGGAGAGCAGACCCTGAAACCCAAGGTGAGCAGTGTCACAGACGCTGGTGAGCGGCTCCCCAGCTCAGCAGGGAGGAGCAGCGATGGTGGGGGAACGGCAGCTTCCAGAAACTGCTCGGAGCCAAGCTGGAGGAGGCAGCGATTACGAGCCGAGAACAGGGAGTGTTGAAACGGGGGAGATTAATTGTGGAGCCTCTTTGCCAAAAGTGCTCTTGTAGATATTGAATTGCCTTGTCCCTCTGGACGAGGTGCCGGGCAGGGGAGATGCCTGCTGCAGCCAGAAATAACCCTCTCGGGAGGCAGCCCGACCCATCCTGGCAGTAGGAAGGGCAGGATCTGCCCCAGCAGGGCTGGGCTATTGGAGAAGAGGCACCATTATTTAAAACTGACTGTTCCAAGCACCTTAGCTCAGCCCCCACGCTAGTACAAGCTGTGGGAACCGTGTGGTGCCTGTGCTCGGCAGCGTTGGCCATTGGCCCACTCTGGGAAGGAAACCTCCATCCCTTCTGCCTCGTCCCTGCTCGCTGAGGCCATTTCCAAGGGACAGGTCAAAACCAAGCGAGAATATAATCGGGAGAAACTTCTCTTCCAGCAGATCATGGGGTGAAGCCCCAGCACTTTCCCACCACATCCCCATAACCTCAGGTTTGCCCTTTGCCCAGGGACTGCTCCTTTGGCTGAACCATGCCAGGCTGGGGGATGTACTTGACTTTAACCAGCAGGAGATATTCCATCTCTTTACCCTCCTCATCCACCCGGCTCCTCCCCTTGATCCTATGAGCAAGACCTCCAGCACCCACATTTCCCCGGCAGGGCACGTACCCGGTACTGGCCGACCTCTTCATCCCGCTTCTGCTTGATGAGGACGATCTGCTCTTCCAGGCTCCGGTTCTGCAGCCGCAGCCGGCTGACCTCCCCCTGCAAGGGCCGCAGGGCTTCCTTCATCCCCTGGATCTCCCCCTGCATCTGCTGCAGCCCCCCGCCCGCCTCCCCCCCGCCAGCCGCAGCAGTTGGGGCTCGTAGTGCTCCTCCAGACCCCGCCGGCTCTCGGCCACGAAGCTCTCGAACTCCACGGAGAGCCGGCGGCTCTCCTGCAGGTACAGGTTATCCTGGCGACATGGCGGAGCCTCCAACCGTTGCCTCAAAACCTCCTTCTCTTTCTCGCAAGTCTCCTTCAGCCGGGAGAGTTCACCGGAGAGCTGCCCAGCCTGGCTCTCCAGCTCGCCCCGGTAAGCAGCGTGCTGGGAGGG